TATCCATGTGCATGGGATTTCAGGGAATTTTAAAGGAAAATACAGGTGGTGGTAATGAGCTGACTTTTCAGAGCTCTAAGTTGCAAGCTGTGATTTTGGAAAATGCCTGTGCATGAATGTTGCACGCAGTTTGGGTGCCCTGAATGTGGCTTTTCTTGGGTGGCTGGAAGACCTAAATTAAGTTAAAGCTGAGCCTTGTGTGTATGTTCTGCTGCTGATGGAGGAGATGCAGGGCTGCTCTGTGACATTACCAGCAGGTTTTCCATGTTTGTAGAGTGGCTTTGTAACTGTGGAGAGATGTGGTGTATCTATTAGGCATTGCCAGTGAACTTTTTCATAGGGAGCCCTGGGAAACCTTTTAAGCCTGACAAAACTTGAACATTTCTTCTGTGCACTGTTTGTTACTCAGTTTTTCAGTGCTGTTTGGAAAGCCAGAGAGCAAGGGGACTGAGTCTGTGCTCCTTTGGTACGTTTGTAGTCCTGGAGAAAGAGAAATGACCACAGAGAAGGCAGATTGGAGGACAGCAGCTCGCAGTGCCATGCACAGCATGAACAACGGTGGTGTGGACTTCAGCACAGAAAGTCAGAGTGAGTCTCTGAACATCTGCTGCATCTTCCTTCTTGCAGCCCAAGCTCCTGGCACTGAACTGTGCATGCTCTGCCTTAGATAGCGCTGCTCCTGTGGCTTTCTGCTTATCCTCTCCAGGGCTTTGTTGGTGGTGTTCTTCTCTGTGTCGTGAGAAGGGCATGTTCAGCAGGTGGGAGTCAAGCCATGGGGAGGCAGCCCTGCGTGACAGCCAAACCCAGCTGGAACTGGTGATAATGGTGTGATGGGTTTTAGTGTGGACGGTATTGCACGATGAAGGTTAAAATGGCATTTGTATTTGGCTGACGTTTGTAATTAGCACTTTAACTTGTTAGAGGGCCTATTGGTGAAGCAATTCAAAACGATGCAGCTCTTCAAAGTTAGCTAGTATTTGTCAGCCTGGTTTTTTGCATTCCTTCCTTGGCTCTGTGCTCCTGCAAGCGAGAGGTCGGGAGCGGATGGGGGGCAGGAGGAGCACCAGCAGGGAGGATTCTGGGGATGAGCGGTGTGGGAGCAGCCCGTGGGGTGCACTGCTCAGTGCTGGGCACAGCTCTGCCCCTGTTGGTTGAGCTGCTCGTGGTTGTTGCACGTGCCGTCCTTAATCAGAATATCCTGAAGCCGTCAGCCAAACCCATGCCGTGTTCAACAGGTGTTTTAATGCTGCAGCGTAAATTATATCATACTAAATTTCAGGGAGGTAGGGAGGAGAGACTCAGGAGCAGTTAATCTAATTCCAGCCTAAGTCGGTATTGGGTATCTTCCTTGCTTTGACTGCCAGTGAGTGTGACACCCAATATTCATTGGGGACAGCTGCGCTGTGCGCTGCACGGCTCTGCTGTGTGCTGGCTGCAAAGAGAGCCATAAAATGTGTGTACATGGCAGGAGCATTTGGCTGTGCTGTGCAGGCACGGCCTCTATAAATTGTGTGCAGATATGTACACACAAAGAGAAGCAGTTTGCTGTTACGGGTGTTTTTTGTCATCATGCGTTTGATGGTAAATAATAAAGATGACAATTGGAAACCCTAATGATATAGTGCTATATAATCTGTGTTCCATTGGAAATAATACTCTTTATAGGGAGATAACAGTGCTGCTTTGGATTTTTCTGGTGCCCATTCATACCAAATTGCCTTTTATTTTTACATGTTAAGTACCAATAATGTTTTCTACAGTGCATGACGTGCTCCTGCCAGAGTGTTTGCTGTCCTGGCGAACACAGTGAGGCTCCTCCTGTGGTTCCTCTTCCTCCCTGCCATCCTCCTGTCCCCATCTCCCTTCCCCAGCACAGCCCTCCGAAAATGCCAGAGGATGGATTTTTTTTGCTGCATCAAGTTAGGAGCATGGAACAAACATTCGAAACGCGTGTGAGGCAAATGCAGCCACCATTGGCAGTTTAGTTTGTTTCTTTTTTTTCCTAAAGAAAAAAAAAATTGGCTCCCTCTCCTGCTGTGCTGGAGATAACAATGGCGCATTGTGCCGTGCTGCAGCTGCTGAAATTTGACTAGATCCAACTGAAGAAAACAGGAGCAGGTGGGTCAACAACGTGACCCCTTCGTTCCCAGCAGTATCAGTGTGCGCCAGGGCCAGAGGGACAGGGCCAAGGTGAGCCCTGATTTCAGCCCCGCATCAGTGGAGCGTTGGTTTGGGCTTTGGGTGTGAGCTGCCTTGTTGCCTTTCTGAGATGACTTTAGTGACTGCAAGTGCTCTGGGCTTTGCTGCTGTTGGTAAAAAGGGTTTCACTCTGCTCAGCACCGTGCATGGTGCCTTGGTGTCTCTCCAGTGCTGGTGCCTGGATCCCATGCTGTGCCAGTGTTGGGTTTATGCTGCTCCATTTAAGTGCCCAGTGTGTGCCCTCTGCTCCCCAAAGCATGGCATTATTTGGATTTCATAATGATGATGATTTTTTCACCATTTAGGTCTTCACAGGTTACAGACATGAATTTTTTATAGAGTAAGGGGTGACGGTCTCAAGTTGTGTTAAGAGAGATTGGATATTAGGAGAAAAGAATCCCTGCCCAGGGAGGTGGGAGGTCACTGTTCCTGCAGGTCCTCAAGTGGAGAGGTAGCACTGAGGGACGTGGTCAGTGAGCATGGTGGGATGGGGTGGGGTTGGACTTCTCCTGAGGACTGCCCTGTGAAGACTTGGAGATTCCTTGTAGGCTCTGCTGTGATTGGGCCTCAGAAGTGGAGTTCAAAGGTGGCAATGTGCAAACTGCAGCAGCACTCAGCAGCAGCTGTGCATGCAGTGATGGTGAGCAGCATGCTTGGTTGCCCTTGGGGGTCTTCATGACTTAACTGTAAGTTTGGTAGAAAACCAAGTACTCATAGCTGCTGGGATAATCCTACCATCACAAGGAGGTGTATTGCTCGTGGAATGGCATCAAATGCTATTTTATTTGCATGTGGTTATGGCTGTAAGAATAACAAGCTGCAGCCATTCCTGAGTCTCTGCTAAAAACAGCTCACATTTGTTGAATGTTTTCCCTTGTCTGAGCTGAAGGCTTAGAGAGCAGTTGGTGATTCTAAGCTAAAACACAACAGAAGTAGGAGAGGGACTTCAGAGAAAGAAACGGTGCTGTGCAGGAGGATGCAGCCAGGATTGAGGGTGCGTACAGGGGAGAGATGAGGGCCAGCTTGGTCTCAATGTGCAAAGCAAAACAGGAAGGGAAAATGTAATATCGAGAGGCAGTGACAGAAGTGGGGAAGCTGCAAAAGGGGCGAGCAGCAGCAGTGGATGGGTGGCTGCAAAGCTGGAGAAGTGTGGGCAAGGGGCTGCAGGCTGGGAGGGGAGGGATGGAGGCTGTGGAAGAGCCAGGGCAGGCATGTGGCTGCTATGTGTGTTAGCATGGGAAATCAATCCCTGTGACCACGTGGCCAGCAGTGGATCTGAGTGCGTCAGGAAGAGGATTGTTAATAAATCAGAGGCTCTTCGTGCCTATCTGCGTCCTAGTCTTGTTTTTTAGCAGGAGCTTGGTGGAATCTGATATGGCAGTCAACAGCAGAGTAAAGCATAGCACAATGCTAAAGCTCCATCTGCAGAAGCAAATCTGCCCATTGCTGTTGGTGGGCACAGAGAAGCTGAAGACAAATGGGATTTAGCTGCAAGCGGAGGAGGTTTAGATGGAGGTATCTGCAGCACTGGTGCTGTGACCGTGCTTTGCCTTTGGCAAAGCAGCAAAATCCTGCTTGGTGCCAGCTCAGCTGCCAGCCTGCATTGCCAGCAGAACGGTCTGCAGCCCCCACCAGCAGCTGGAGCCTGGCGCGCTGCGGGCCCACAGTGCTCACCTCCCTGCTGGCATCACAGCACTGTGCCCATGGTGCTGCATTGTGCCGTGTGGCAGTGCCAGGCCCACGAGCTCATTGCTTTGGGGCACAAAGCACAGGGTAGGCTGAACTCCATCGCACCTGGAGGCCGCTGTGGCTGTGGCTTTGCTTTACAAGCACGAATCCTGAATTTAGGGTATGACCTACATTGTGTGCTGCTCTGTCCTTTGGTGAGCTTCTCCATGCCTGCAAACACCTTCCTGGGAGTTGTGATGAAAAATCAAACAGAGAAAACTGCATTTACTTGCAGGTCAGAGATGCCATCCTCGATGTCCTGCACACACACTGGTGTCTGCTAGGAGTACAGCATTAACATATGAAAGCACAGCCAACAGTGGGTTCTTGTATGGGCAGAAGTGCAGAGCTGTGGTGCCAGTTCGACCCACAACTGCTGTCTGCAGCCGGGCTGGGTAACAATTAACCTTTCAGTCATGTGTCAGCCATTGCTTTCCTGGTGCAGCTGCTTTTAACAATGCACGTCGCTTCTCCTCCCAGCACTGCTGGCTTTGGCACTTGGAGGGTCTGTTTGAGGAAGCGCAGGATGGATGGAGGAAGAATGGTGTTTCCTTAAATCAAAATGTAATTAAAAAGAAACTTTGTGTATATTAAATAAGATTCCACTACTGCTGATTCTGATATTTTAAAGTAAGCTCAACATAGTTTTGCTTGCGTGACAAAAGCATGTAATTTTCTGGGTCACTTTGCACATTGCATTGTTCTCTGCTTCATAACAGCCCATGCATTTGCTTTGTGCCGGGTGAAGTAACCTTGTAAATAACACAAGTGTTGGCATATGCAGCGGAACCCACAGCAACATGCAAAGGTAACAGTGTTAGGTACTAGAGAGAGAACTGCTGGGAAATGCATGTACAGGGGTGTATTTTTCTGAAGCTCACATTCTTGTGTAAAGCACCCTGATTTCATGTAGGTAGGTCAGTGTGTGATGTGCACACGAGGGCAGAGCTGGGAGCCACCTTCCTTTGAGTTATGTTTCAGAAGGGTTTTTTCGCACTTGGGAATTAAAGATTGGTGGCAGGATAACTTACAGGACTTCTACAGCAAATATTCTCCTTTTCATTTCTCTGCAGGATGGGAGTCACAGCTTCTGGAGACTGGGTTCCTGGGGATGTTCCTCTGCCCACTCTGGACCCTGTCCCGGCTGCCCCGTTCCACACCTCCATCCAGCATCGTCATCTGGGGCTTCCGCTGGCTGATCTTCAGGATCATGCTGGGAGCGGTGAGTGGGGCTCTATGGTTGGGCTTTTGGGTTTTGTCTTTGGGTTGTTTTGTTGTTTGTTTTTTTTTTGCTGAGATGGCAGCAGTGGGAACATCTGATCCCAGCAAGAAGCTGTCCCTGGGGCAGAGCACCGCAGTCCTCCAGTTCAGGACTTTTCTAGTGAGAAGGAAGGAGCTTGGAGTAGGAAATGCTTCTTGCTCTGTTTTGCAGAGTCGTTATTGTTAGTGCTTATTTAAAGAAAGACAAACGTGTGCTTACTCCTGTGCATCGATGTGTTGGTGCTGCTCTTGGGATTGGCACTTTCAAAGGACGTGAAGCTGAAGGCCATTGTGGCTCTTTGATAAGATGCTTGGGAATGCAGCGGGTAATTCCCGGGAGCTTTTCGCTGAGTTATTTTTTTTTTCTTTGTGTGTGCTCTACTGAAATGTCATTCTTTGCTCCTTGATTTCAAAGGGAACAATTGCTTCGTTACTGTCCAAGTGCCAGTGGAAATTCCCAAGTCACTTGTAAAAGAGTCCATCAGGAACTGACACATCGTTGTTAAACTGGAGGTGGGGCTGAGCATTACCTCATGATCTGGAGCTGAGTGGTGGATGCTTCAAAACATCCCCAGATTGTCATTTAGGATCATTGTAGAAGTGTTGCAGGCAGTAGGGCATCCCTGGGTCTCTTTTCTCTAAAGTCCTTCTGTCACACCAAGCTCTTGAAGTGCTTGAATCTATAGTCAAACTCAATAAGCTCTTAATTATCCCTCTCTTCTTACTAATAAGAACAATGGATGTTTAAAGGGAGCAGTGATAACCAAAGGAAGCACAGTGTATGGTCTGCAAGCAGCACATGCATCCGTGTTTCATAACTGAAATTTCTGGTCCTCTCTTTTGTGCAGAAAATGATGGGCACTTTTGGTAGCCCACTTTTGGTGCTGCGGTATCTTCATTGTGTTTTTGAGGGCACAAAAGTTGTTGCAGTTGTTATTGCAGACCCAAAGTGCACCAACAGGATGGCTGCCCTTAGTGCTGATCCTGGGGACTCACGTTGGGGGAGTGGAGGGGCCCTACCCTGAAGAACCCTCTGCAGTGGTTTGAGTGGGGCTGAGTGGTGCCCATCCTGCAGGGTTAGATCCCTTAAGGTGACCTGATACTCCTCTGAAATGACGAAGTCCTGAGTGTAATGCAGATTATTTTTTCCTACAAGAACTTCACTTGTGGGTGTAATATTTGGTCTGTTGATCAGCAGTGATGTTCGGTGAAAATAACAGGGTTGCAGAAGTTTTCATCTCAGACAGAGGATGTTTGGCTCCTGTAGCCTCAGTGCTCCTCAGCTGTGGCACTGATTACAGAAAGAAAGGAGCAAAAGGAACTGCAGCTGAATTATGTTGTGTTGCTACCAAGTTTGTATCCTGCTTTCCTTATAAAATGAGACTCTGTGCTTTGCTCTTTCCAGTTGTAATATATATTCTGAACTATGAGAAAGGCTTGTTGTAATGGAAAATTGAGCTAATGAAGTTTGTGTTGTCGTTGTCTCTGTGCTGCTCCGCAGTCATAAATCTGCAGTTATTTTGGAGAGGGCACTCTGCAGTCAGTGCTGCCCCTCAAGTCCTTTGTGTGTGCTGGTTGCTGGTATGGCACTAACAGGCATGGGAGAGGAAAACATGGAAAGGTCATTAAAGGGGGATCTATGCAAGCAAGTGGAAATCAGTGATTGATGGTATCTTTAATGTTTCGGGGCCCAAACACGTGTATGTTTCCTTCTCAGATGGTATAATGATGCTTGCAGGCACTGGGACGAGAGTTTAATGCGTGAAACCCAAGCATCCTCCTGCAGTGCAGGTGCACCTGCTCCAAGGCAATCTTTGATTTCTTCGCTAATCTGGGCAGGGGTTGAAACATGTGCGCAAATGCAGCCTGAAGGGAGAGTTCCCAGGGGTGGGATTGGTGGGGATTATGTCTCACACGGGAAGTTTGGCTTTCCCTGCACGGCTCCCCAGGGGCTGCTGAGCAGGCTGGGCATGGATTTCCCTGCAAAATGCCATCTTCCAGCTCGCAGCCCTCCCTTGGGCTGGTTTTCTTCTTCCCTCCCTGTGCTGGTGGGTGGGTGAGCAATGCTGTGTGCAGTTCTGAAGCTCGTCTGAAACGTTCTGGCCTGTCTGGCTTTGACACTGTGATGGACCCCAGGGAAGGGCTTCAGTTTCCCATCCCATCGCTCTCTTTTTTTCTGAAGTCAGCTCCTGTATCAGGACCAGGAGAGGAGTGTGGATTTCACGTTTCAGCCCCATTTCACCCCCTTTCTTTTTTTGTTTTCTTTCCCCATTCAATGCATCACATTTAGGAACTCTTTCCATTCAGAATTCTAGCAACCAGCACATTAAAACACTTGGGATTTCTACCAGAGTAAATGCCAGTGTGCCTACACTTATGCAAAGGAACAGACCAAGCCCAATAGCTGCTGAATGCCAAATCTAAGTGTAAGGACACAGGCTAGATCTGAAGGACTTTCACCCAACCCAAATTGGTATGACTGTTGTCATCGTTGCCCCCAGGGAACATCCATCATCCCCTTGAAAGCTTCCCATATCCTACCACCCCACACCCTTGTTTACAACCTGCTAGTTGAGAACCACTGCAGCAGAAATCTGCTTTTATGCTTCTGACCACAGAAACCCACAGAGCTGGTGGGAGCCTTGTGGAGCTGTTCTGTTGCCTTAAAGCAACCCAGGGTGGAAGCAGCCCTGAGCTTTCTGGAGAAGCCTTTGGAGCAGGTCTTGCTGCACCATACCTGACTTCCAGCTGGGCTTCATTAAGAGAGATGCTGCGTGTGAGAGGTAAAATCATCCCTTCTGCCTTCCTGTGCAAGGAGTGGGTTCAGGCTCTGCTGCTGGAGTTTGATTGGCAGCAAGCGCTGGGCTGATCTCAAATATTGCTGGCTTTTTAAAAGGCATAATTATGTGATTCAATCTATATGTTTGATTTTCCTAATAATCCATTAGTGCAGGATGTAAAGACGGATGCTTCTTAGGAACGTGCAGAGGCAAAAGAATAGCAGTCCCTTTGTGCGAGCGAGCAGCGTGGTAGGAAATAAGTGGTGCAAACAGATTCGTGCTGCTAATTTGTCTCAGAAGTGCTGTGTGACTCAAGATCCTTGTCTTGGTGTGGCTGTGCTCTGATGGCTTGAGGCAAGCTAGCAGAGCAGGGCAGCACTGCCTCTGTCCTCATTCCCCAGCATTTCAAGGCCAAGGCACCGTGTGAGGCTGTGGGCTTTTTGATGGGCGAGTTTTGTTTGTTTTTTTTTCTCTCTTGCAGGCAGCAGAATTGCTGGTGGACCTGCACAGCCCCGAGCTGATGCATGCCCACCAGCACAGCATGCTGCTGGGACGTCGTGCAGCTCCTCGAGCCAGGAAAGCCATCAGGGATTTAATCTGTAAGCTGTAAAATTGTTTCTTTGTTAGTTGGAGTGTCAGGGAAAGGCTGCGTGTGTGCACGCTTGCTCAGATATGTGAGGACTCAATTTTCAGCAGCACCTGCATGTGTAACTGTAGTAACACGGATACATGCTGGTAACTGCAGAAACGTGTGCGGAGGGATGGAGGCGATGGACCATGAGCCTACGAATCTGTAGTGGAGGCTGATGCCTTCAATGCAACCTGTGGCTTCAGTGATGTTTACTCTGGTTATTCCCAAGAGTTGTCTCTGTTCATTGCACATCACTTGTCAAGCCTCACAGCAGAGGTTTGCTGCCATCAGAGGCAGCGTGCCTGAATTTAGGTGGATTTTCATCATCTCCAACTAAAGCGACTCCTGCATCTCTTCCTTCCCAGCCTTTTTCTTTGTGGGATGCTGACATGGAGCATGCAGTTCCCTGTGTTACATACAGCCAAGCTTGCGACTGCTGTGCTGCAGCACCGATCCCATCCAGATGTGTGCACTGAGCAAGAGTCAGTATGATATGGCAGAACAGTGCCCAGTGCCCCAAGGTCCTCACTGCTTCTTGCTGCTGTTCTGTGACAACACCAACCCCAACAGATTGCACTGGACTTGGGTCTGCTGTCAGATCCCAGTCCTTGGGCAGCTGCAGAGCAGAGCTGGGCGTGATCTTGGGGCTGTTTTCCCATTGCTGCAGTCAGGAGATGTGGGCACTCCGTGAGCAGTGACCCTTCATAGGCACAAAGCAAGGTGAGCCCATGCACGTGCAGCAGCCTCATTGCACTGCTAATGGCCCTTTCACGGAGCTTTCTAATATGCATTTTATTTTCCATCAGCATCACAGAGCACACAGTGCTGCCGAGATGCTCACGTTAGGACTAATTGGGTGCTGTTTGCAGACCTTGGTGATGTTCTGTGCGAATGATTATCAGCACTGGAAATGTGGTGAGGTGTAACGGCATGTTGGGAAGCTGAGAGTAAATGGGGAATTAAGGTGGAGCTGCGTCTTGCAAGGGATCACAGACATATGGAATAAGTTACTGGGGAAGGTGGCTGGAGCAGAGCATAAGTGAGTCTGAGACATCTTGATTAGTTTCTGGAGGAAGGGATTGAAGAGTGTAGTGGAAAAGCAGGGAAACAGGATTTAAAGCACATTACCACTTTAATTTAAAAGTGCCCAAAGCAAGGAAATTCAGATTTAAAGCTGCCAATCCATCACTGGTGCGCGCAGGTGTTGGAGCTGGGGTCTGTGTGCAGATGGGTTGGGGCCGTGCAGGCTCAGCCCCCCAGAGTGGGGCAGAACCCTTGGGGCAGTTGGAGGAGAAGTCTCAGCTTTGCCCCAGGACTTGAATGTACAGTGAGTGCACAACCCAGCAAAGTCCCATCCTTTTGTCACTGAAGCTGCTGTGTCCCATGTCCTTGATGCCCTCCTCAGGATCCCTTGCACCGTTCTGGGAATGCTCCTGGCTGAAAGCACCGCACTTCACCATCCCCAGGAGCATCCCAGGTGCCCAGGGATGGGGTGACACAGGGAAGGGTTTCTTTTCTTCCCTCGCCTTGTATTTGAGAGCCCTTCACAGG